GGAGGAATCCTTAACAAGTTTACAGATGTTGAGCTCCAAACTACACACGTGTGCTGTGACCTAACCAGACTACGCTCAATGGATACATCGTCTCGCTGTATAGGGTGCTTTTTTTGTCCCCTACTGAGAGATGCCGCCCGTTTAAACACTAGAGAATGAACATACAAGCATTGCACAGTGCTCAACAAAATGCTGTGAATTGACCCGCGAGCGCGCACTCTGTAACAGTTATCAGAAACCGTCGCTCTCTTTTGTACTCTCGCGGTGTGATGGGGGATGGCAGCACAACGTCACTATTGTACAAGATGGCGGCTACCTACTGAAAACTACAACGCTAAGCACACACCGCAGTCACAGTGATACACAACTCAGTCCCTAAAGACTCCTATGGAATGACGAATAGCTTTTTTTCTCCTTTTATTTTTAAGTAACAGTGCTATTACCTACACAGTAACATTGAAAACACTTAGAAACTCCTCCTAAAGCTAGCATCTAGTGTACGCGAGAGGTTCCTCCAAGATAACTCATGGATTTAATGGACTAAACGTCTACTCGCCCTCTTGTTAGACCCGTAGTAAAGGACATTAGAATATTATCACCTGTACAGACCATTAACTTTTACGGTTATTGTTAAAGATTCGCTAATGCTCGTGGTGTCCAAACCGGTCGGTGGCCGGTTCGCTTTCTTGCGCTATAGACTGAACGGACTTTTCTCGACAAGCAATTGTCCGTTCCTAGACTGTACAGTGCAAAACAGTAGCCACGGGGGAAGGGATTGGCAGTTAAGCATGGCTAACTCTATTGTCACTGTGAAAAGGCAACAGAAAGCAAAAACTGCTGTTTAGGGCACCGTTGCGGCCAAAATACATTGTTCCCCAAAGCTACAACCACTATCCGAGTGGCGTGTGAGTGGAGGGAGGAGTTGTACCTCCCTGAAAACAATGGCAGAGTTTAAAAGCTCGCCTCTCCTCCTTCCCTCATCACTATCGATTCGTTGGGACCGACCACTTCAAAAGCTTCCGTCCCACAACATTTGATTACTTCTGATTGAAGGCAAGGGAGTCTCTTGAAAGACGCCCCGGTGTAAATAAATCCCCCCGTTACCCGGCCTTTAGCAAAGATCGTAAAAAAAAATCATGCAGTTACCAAAAATATTCAGACGTTGACTTAATCTAAAAAATAGTTGTCTTAAAGCTGGAGTCAAAACTCCTGGTTTCCTTTTTTTGGAGGCTGAACCATAAATTCCTCAACGAAACGAGTCAGATGACGAGAAAAGGAAACTGATTCACAAATTCAAGCTTCAAGGACACGATGGCTACAGCTTGAGACTGTCCCATAAATGGTCAATTTACGGTTTCGCGAAGACGCCAACTTGGATTCGAGAAGATTCGGGAATCGAAGGACAGAAAACAAGAAAGAAGCAAACCGGGGACCCGTTTTAATAAAATTGAACAGCATCACCGTATGAGAAATCAAAAGAAAAGGCTGATTGGTCTTCATCAAGTAAGAAGAATTCCTTCGATTAAAGTGGTTTAAGCGAAGCATACAGGTCCCTCAGTTTGATAAATTTGTACAAAAAGTTCTTACGAAATCATGTGCTTGTATAATTGTCAGCAGCATATTATATTTATACCATGAAACCATATTAGTTAATGGCCTTCATGTTCAGTGTGTGTTTATCGTGTACGGTACATCTGTAAGCTTTTTTTTTACGTAAACATGAAGCGCAAACCGTCCTTTACGTGAGTGTGAGTGTACCTCCACTAGCGTTTTGCAGGTTGGAATTCTTTAACTCGTAAATATTTATATAGAGATATAGCGTATAATTTAGTGGAATGCAATAAGGTAAAACTCTTAAATCCCGTTATATATAATATTGGCTCTTCTATGCATTTACATAATTTAAAATAGAACATCTTATTAAAAACATCAAGATATACACAGTTTAGGAAACGGGTAACAACATACAAACACATAAACTACAAATCATTTTCATCTGCATACTGATATATACACCTGTGGTACAGTACAATAAATTCCTCCAGTCATGCTCTATCTATACAGATCATATTGCTTAAAAGAAGGGGGCATTTGGTCGGGGACTTTTAAGGTCGTGGATGGAGATGAAACAACAAAGGACAGAGAGAGTTTATCGACGGAAGGAAGGGGGCGAGGGGTCGAAACCGACGTAACAACACAACATCTCAATGGGGTGGTCCGAGACACTAGAAATTAGGAGTGAGGGTGCATGAATCCTTATATCACTGAGGTATTTACACGCACTGGGTAAAGAGCACTACACGGGCAGGTTTTTGGGAAGGGGGGGTTGGTCTCGGGGCTGCTCTATTTTTTCTGAGCTGCCAGCAGGGCATCTATTTCCTCCTCCGGCTTGAGCACGTGCCACTGAGCGATGGGTCTCCTCGGGTTGGCCAGCATATCTGACCAGTGACGGATCTCGGTGCCTGTGCTGTTCAAGCCCACAAACACTTTGCCGATGGCATCGTTCTTGCCAATCTTGTCATAGTCCAGAACAGTTATAACAACTTGAACTTTCTGTAACAGAAATTAGAGACACACAATTATAGACACAACGTAATGTTTGTGACTTTCAGTTTATTCGAACATGTGCTTGGTAATAGTAATAATGATAATGATGATGACTGTCGTTCAAAAGTTTGGGGTCGGTAAGATTTCTGAAAGAAGTCTTATTTATTTGATCAAAAATACAGTGAAAACAATACTATTACAATTTTAAAAAACTGTTTTAATATAATTGACTATACATTTTTAATATAGTTTAATATACCAGAACAGTTATAACAACTTGAACTTTCTGTAACAGAAATTAGAGACACACAATTATAGACACAACGTAATGTTTGTGACTTTCAGTTTATTCGAACATGTGCTTGGTAATAGTAATAATGATAATGATGATGACTGTCGTTCAAAAGTTTGGGGTCGGTAAGATTTCTGAAAGAAGTCTTATTTATTTGATCAAAAATACAGTGAAAACAATACTATTACAATTTTAAAAAACTGTTTTAATATAATTGACTATACATTTTTAATATAGTTTAATATATTATATTATGAAAATGTTATTTATTCCTGCAATGTTAAAAAACTGCTTAATATTTTTGTGGAAACTGTGATAAATAATAAATCTTTTGAAACATTGTAAAGTTTTTACTTTCACTTCTGATCAATTTAATACATCCTTGCTAACTAAAATTATTAATTTCTTTCAAAAAACTCTCATTGACCCCAAACTTTTGAACAGCTACATATGTATAAATATATATAGTACAGTGTATGTATATAAAAAGGTTTTTATAAATTATGATGCATTTAAAAACAACATTTTATGACTTATTGAAGAGGCCTTTGACATCACGAATATCTTACAATGGGTTGCTGAGCAACATTGTTTAACAGTGACTGAAAATATACATAGTGGCGCAGTAGTTCACGCCATTGACCATTTTCCCAAATAACACTACAATTATCTCAGTGTGAAGGTCAACTGAAGAAGATGGTCTCTTTGAAAAGCATGGTGGCAGATACCAAAGAAAGGCCAGCGGGTGCCACCAAAGAGGTCCGAACAACTCTGTAAATTGACTGAGAGCACGCAACTGATCGGTGTGAGTTCGGGGTCAATGGCTCGCTCTTAGCTTGCTTACTTAGAGCCCGATCCGCCCGTGCAAGAAATGCAAGCAGATTTCACTGATCGGTGAGAACAGGCCTGAGGCCATTGTTCTCGGGAGGCAGAGCTAATTTGCCATATAATGAAATACTGAGGGATGTACAATGAGCGAGGAACTGTTAGTTTGGGATAGCCGCTTTTAGAAACGTCTGCTGCTTGGTGTGAATGGGAAGAGATGAAGGCCTCTCTGGTAAACAGACCCCCAGACACTCTTTGAATTCAAAGCAACTCACTCAAAGCATAAAATGTATCCTCTGAACCGTAAAATGCTAAATCAATTTGAAGCAATTTTACTCTTATTGCACTAGCAAGCATTGCATTCCTTTTATTCTCCAACTAATTAGCAACAAAACATTTCTAAAAGCCTCACACCGAGCCTTATCGCATTTCACAAGCTACTTTTCATCTGTGGCTTGCCAGTTAGTTTCTATACATTTACAACACAGTGTTCGTTCAATTAGTTTTTTACGACAATAATGAAAATGGGAATTAGCATCGGATTTGCTGTTGCCGTATTAGAGCTCGGTTTCAGTACAAGTAACAAAACCAAATTTCATTACCTGGATTTGTTCGAATGGCACTTCGAAACTGAAAGATTCATTGTAGTAAGGGTTAAGGGTGTTCTTTTTGATTGTCGTCTTCTTCTTCTTCAGCCGCTTGCCGTTCTGCATCAGGTGAATCTTGACGTAAGGATCTGATAACACACAAGAATAGGACATGACATGAGAAATCACTCTTTATGACATGCTAGAGCAGTTGCTAAAATCAAGATTTTATATTAAAATCAAGAATGAGGTCTATTCAAAGTCTTGTAAAACCTGGACATATCAGTTTTTGAAATGTCCAGAATTACAGCATTGTATTATTTTAATTATTATAATTACATCATTATTTTAATATACTCCCACTCCTAGTTTCTGAAAATACAAAAGGTTGAAATGAGCAGCTTTGTATTTACAGCAGAAAAAGTTTGAGTACCACTGTACTAGAGTCTCACCAAGTCTCAATGACAAGACCATAAGATCAAGACTCCAACTCATTAGGTGCAAGCCTAAAACCTCAATCAAATCAAATCAAATCAAATCAAATCAAATCAAATCAAGTATGGTACCAAATTCGTTATATCAATTAATTAATTCATCTTTTAATCTTTTTTTATTTTATTCATATTTTATTTGTACATTTCTCCACATATCACAAAATAACACTGCATGCGACACCTGCAACCTGAAGCTCCACCACAGAACAGATCTCTTGTGGTTCGTGTTAGGATAGTACAAGCTTTTATTGACACATGACAGGTGTGTGCCCTCCAGAATCCCAGAGAAAATCTTCCCTGTTACATTACTGCCATTCAGGCACATCAATCTCTGCCAGGGCCTCAAAATACTATCCATCTTATCTATCATTTCCAGCATCAATATTCTGTTCCCATTATGCATCTCTCATCATCTGTTTACCTCACCCACTACTGATTCAGACTCACCTTACTTCAAATCACTTTTTGATGGAAACCTCACAATACAAATAATGAAATATCAAAACAATATCTGATTCTATGTCTAAACATCTTCCTTTTTGAAAAAGGGAGTGAATGTATTTTTTACTGAGACTGAAAGAGGGGTGATGTCACATGCCTTTTTGAGCCTTAGAATTAAAAAATGGATATAGCAGCAGTTATTGAGGTGAGAAATGGTTGAATTTGACAGACTTAACCATGTTTCAGAATTACCTTGGTTTAAGTTCACTCTTTCTCTCCCTGACACTCTTATATATTTCTTTCTGTCACCATCTCTGCTCTGCTCCAAGAGAGATTTCAAAAAATCTCTGGCATTTTCAATTCCCTCTTAATTTTTCAACTGATCTAAATACATTTTATCTCTCTAAAAAAATCCAGAGCAGCACATTTCAAATAGAGAGAGAGAGAGAGCGAGAGAGAGAGTAACATAGAAGGCATCCTAAACTCTCTGTACCCATACCATATTAGGAGCAGGGCAGCACAAAATCTGTGGCATGCAGTTTTTGAAATTTAGATCTCACAACTTATAAGCTGAGGGTGTGTAAGACATGGTCAGTGTGCATTTATATAAGGAATGTAATAGATAATGTTAAATGTTAATGACAAAACATGTTAATTTACAGCATTCATTTAAGTCATGGTGGGAGTCTTTCATTCAATTCACTATCTACTGATTCTGATCTGTCTAGGAAAAAGCTACATGCAACTGCTCATGTTCAGTTTTGATAGAAATATAATAATAAGAAATGTTTCTTGAGCAGCAAATCAGCATATTAGAATGATTTCTGAAGGATCACGTGACACGGGAGTAATGATGCAGAAAATTCAGCTTTGCCATCACATGAATAAATTAGATTTTAAAATATATTCAAATGGAAATAGCCATTTTAAAGTGTAATAATATGTCACAACATTAGTGTTTTGCTGCCGTACCAAGTGACAAACAATCATTGCATATAGACTTTCTCTTGAAACACTTATATACTATATAAAATTCATTTAAAGGTGACATATCATGAAAACTGGAATTACTTTTCCATGTTTTAAGTGCTATAATCAGGCCTCCGGTGCATCTACCAACCAAGGAAACATGAAATAGGTTAACCCAGTAACTTTGTTTTGGGGAGCCTTTTTCTGCAAGCCTCTGAGAAAACGAGCACGTGGAGCCCTTGGTGATGTGGCAAAGGGATCTCATTATAATGTTACCGCCCCTTAATCTGTACGTTTACACCCACTGCGCCGTTATTGTGTTTTTGCAAGCGACGACGGTGTACCAGCTCTAATGCCATGGCGAAAGTTTGAGCAAAACATGCTAACTGTTCTGTCTTTGGCTGCGGCTCTAATGGCGTAGCTCTATTCTGGAAAAGGGGGCGGGGAGCAGCAGCTCATTTGCATTTAAAGAGACAGGCCCGAAAAACAGCTCGTTTCTGCTTCCACTCAAAATAGGCATTTTCAAAATGATATAATACATGATCTGTGGAGTATTTTGAGCTGAAACTTCACAGACACATTCTGGGGACACCAGAGACTTATATTACATATTGTAAAAAGGGGCATAATACGTCTCCTTTAATACAAAAACTGGTATGTGATTGCAGCCTGTGTTATTAATTAATTGATATGAAGCATTTTGTGTCTGTTGTAAATGTTGTACAGCACTATGCCCTGCAACTTAAAGAGCATCTGTATGGCATTTATGCCTCTAAATGCCTCAAGATCTTAAATGCATTTTTAAGGTATTACACAAAAAAAGGTTCTTTCAGATACTATCCAAAAAGTATGCATCCATGAAGCTTCACAGTCTGACAGTGGGATCACATGTGGAATGCATGCTAAAACATTTTAGTCAGACTATATGAGATGCAAAGATTTCTCATAATAGAGCATTACAGCACCTCCTGTTGAACTTACACTAACACTACAAGATCTTCAGAGCTCTGGCCGCTTGCTCCATCCACTTTTAATAAGGTGAAAACATGCAATATGGCTATTTATGATGTTGAACTTAAACAGAACTTCCCTGGGTCTAACACTATTAAAGGTGGTGCTTTTTCCTGGTTGCTTGGCAACCACAGTGCCTGAGGTTTGAGGTTGTTAGGAAATCTGTGGTAATCTACACTCAAACAGAAGCCAAGCCAGAAGTTTGTGGTTCAAGGAGTTGGCAGTGCTTGTAATGACTTGTGTTTATGGCTCATATAGTCACTTGAGAAGCTCATCTTGACTGAAAATCCAAGTGAAAATAAAAATGGCCCTTGTCTCTGATGTGGTATGTTTTCATTGGCTCTGGAACATAGGCATTCAGTCATGTATGGTCTACAGACTCGTAGGTGTCTCCTAGTGGTGGACTGCATGTACTGCATTCACCCTCAGCTATATAAAAGCTGATTTAAAAATGGTTATGGTGCCGATTTCAACCCCTATTATGTTCAAATACATAAACAAATACAAAGAATAGTCTTAAGCCACACTTTAACATTTACATTTAACATGGTTAACTAAATAAAACTAATAAAAATTGTTTTCAGTAAATGAAATAAAGTAAAATATTAAAATTTGATGAAAAACTGAAACTTAAAAAACTTCAAAGAAAATTAGAAATAATTTCCTGGCAACCAAACTAACTAAAATTTTAAAAAGTTTAGTTGAAGAAGAAAAGAGAAAAATGACAAAAGTACATGACATTACTAAGACTAAAATCAAAATGAAAAATCAAAATATAACAATATAACTAACAGTAAAATTTAAAATATCAATAAAAACTATAATAGAATATAAATTATATTAAAATAACGCTGACTTTACCATTGTTGTGTTTAAATATATGAAATACAATGAATAGTCTTTCCACAGTCATACAGTGCCCCCCCCCCCCCCCCCCGAAACAAAAAAGTAGAGATGCATGTCAGGTTTTGTTTTATTATTGTTTTATTTACTGGTATTTTATGTACAACTATTTATTTCTTTTGATTCAAGGGCATTGTGAAAGACACTTAGCTCTATCAGGCGCAAGTGGGGCATCTA